TTTCGAGCAAAGCTCAAGTAACTGGGTCAAAAGTGGTCAAGGTTGCCTGGTATTGAATATTTGGGCGGCTGGGGGACAGGTCTCCCAAGGTCAGGCAGTCAGTCCCTGGGCAGCTGTGTCCGGGAAGGGTAGCTGCCGGGGGCTTGGGCAGGTACGAAACGGTCCCAAAGGGTGAGCGCTATCCCTGGGAGGCTGTGTGAGGGCGAGGGGCATCTGAGGTGGTGACAGACAGTGGGAGAGAAAAGAGGATACAAAACAGAAGATAAATAGAAAGAAATCTAAACATTTCCCACCATGAAATTATGAAATCACCATTTCTGACAATTTACTTGTGTGTAATAAAAACTATGTTCACACCAGGTCAACAAAGTGTGGATGAGATTTTATAACAGGAGGCTTTATTGGACAGAATCTCAATACATATTTTCCCCTGTAGGAACTCTCAATTCTCTCATAAAAATTTATTACAGCGTTTGCTATGTATGCACTAAACACAAGCCGTTGTAAACAGGGCAGGCAACACTGGCCTTGGAGCCTCCAATCCTGAGTCCCACTGTAACAGAAAACAACTGTTGGCAACTGTATCGCATGAAAGGTTAACAGCGCCACATGGGGAGGGCTTCTGGCAATTATTCTTAATGGAGCTATACTTCTGTTTAATAAATTAGGAGAAAATAAAGCTAAAACTCCGATGGAGACAAACACTACAGAGGACGGTAACATTTTGCTTCGTTTGTTTTATGTTCGGGTTGCAGCTGTTGGTGAACACTTGCCCATATGCACACCCGCAGGGAAGCAGAGTCACGTGGGCACACGGTGACGGGCACGTTTGGTCCAGCATAAGCACACAGATGTCCACCCCTTTTCCTGTAGGTCTGACTTCAGAGACAGAACATTGTACAGGAGCCAGGCATTTGCAGCTCCCTCTGTCCCCTTAAAATAAAATATCTTTAGTTTTTCTAAATCACAGTTTCCAAAAGTATTTTTGAAGCATCTAAAGATACAGTACATTTCCATGTGGAATGCTGAACTAGCTGGCACCTACCTTAGGTTTCCTGAGTACAGGCTCCCTTCTGTTCTCTGGACGCCCCCCCCCCAAGCTATGGATAGTGTAAGTCCCCCCACCTCACTCTGCACAACGCCTGCCTCCTCCCAAATAAAGAAGTCTAGTAGCTCAGATGGTAAAGTATCTGCCTACAATGCAGGAGACCCGGGTTCGATCCCAGGGTGGGGAAGGCCCCCTGGAGAAGGGAAGGGCTACCCACTCTAGTGTTCTTGCCTGGAGAATTTCAAGGACAGAGGAGCCTGGTAGGTTACAGTCCAGGGGGGGTCACAGAGTCGGACACGACTGAGTGACTAACACACACATGAAAAGTGAAGGAAAGAAAAAAATTCAACTTGGGTGCACTCATAACTTGGAGCTACCAGGGTTCAAAGGGTAGCGTCTAATCAGTCTACTGCAGGAAGGTAGTGGCTCCCATTTGGACACGGGGTGGGATGAACCTGTCTGTGGGAGATGGCCATGCTCCATTAGGGAGGATGGGTGTTCAGACTAGGCAGTGGTTTTTAGTTGCTAAATCATGGCCAACTCTTTGCGACCCCATGGACTGTAGACCACCAGGCTCCTCTGTCTATGGGATTTTCCAGGCGAGAATACTGGAGTGGGTTGCCATTTCCTTCTCCAGGGGATCTTTCCCACCTGGGGATTGAACCTGGGTCTCCTGCATTGCAGGCGGAGCCACTGGGGAATAGGGTGGCTGAAATGTCCATTGGCATCCGCTCCACAGGACATCACGGCAGAGGGACAGATTTATGTCCTCCAAGGAGCTGCCTCACCACAACAGACAATGAATATGCAAATGGCAAAGGTCTGAACTCCTTCTCGCAAACTAGCCTAAGAAAATACAGACTGGCCTATCCCAGTGTTTATAAAAATTGCGCATGTGGTAATAAGGGTTCGGCAAGGCAGCTCTTTTATTTGTCCCTGGACTTGCGCGGTTTCCCCTGAAGAAATCCTGATGGGGCTGGCGAGACACTGAACTCCTTAAATGTCCTTCAAATGTTCCACACTTGAGGAAGTATGTTTACACATTTGTAAAACAGGGTCGTTGAGATTTGGAAAGATTTCAACCTGCAAGGGAACTTAGCATTCGAATAGAGCATGGGCTTTGGTTACGGATAATCCAAGCAAAGATTTGGCATCCATGGCTTGAATGCTGGGCCATGGTGGACTGCGCCTCTGGGGGCTGGTTGTTTGGTATTTTAGGCAGGCAGGAGCCATCTCTCTGATCTGGCCATTGGGAAATTGACTGGCTCAGGCCAGTCAGTCAATTGTGCACCATTGCGGTAGCATCTGATACTCCCTAAATACAGTTCCTATGAGTCATCTGGGGTATTTTGGAGGCCTTGATGACTCTAATCTGACTCTCATGAATCAGTGTGGGATTCTTGTCTCCAAGTACAGGTTTTAGACTCTTCAAAATGTGAACTTCAGTTTCTATTAAACACGTGCAGCCATGCTTCCCTGGTGGGTCAGTGGTAAAGAATCCACCTGTCAAGGCAGGATACATGGGTCCCAACCCTGATATGGGAAGATCCCACAAACTGTGGAGCAAGTAAGCCTGTGCTCCGCAAGTACTGAGCTTGTGCTCCAGGGCCTGGGAGTCACAACTACCGAGCTCATGTGCTGCAAGGACTGAAGCCTGTGTGCCTAGAGCCCATGCTCCACAACAAGGGAAGCTATTGCAATGAGAAGCCCGCACACCACAAGTGGAGAGAAGCCCCGCTCGCCACAGCTAGAGGAAAAAAGCCCTCAAAGCAAAGAAGACCCAGCACAGCCACAGAAAAATAAATGAATATTAAATATGCAAATAAATAAACATTAAAAAACACACACGTGCAACCACTGTTCCACGCCAAGGAGTAAGATACTGACTATAGTCACTAGGCCTCCCAGAGAAAGGACACAGGAAATGCCCCCAAGTCAGTGTTCCTAAGAGCGCACATGCTCCAAAAGGCACGAACACAGTCTTTTCAGTCAAAAATGTAAATTATTTCAAAAGTCCCTTACATGTGAGTATATGTGGTAAACTATCACACGGCTGGGAAAGACTGAGGGCAGGAGGAGAAAGCAGCAACAGAGGATGAGAGGGTTGGATGGCATCACTGACTCAATGGACATGAGGTTGAGCAAACTCCAGGAGATGGAGAAGGACAGGGAAGCCTGGCGTGCCGCAGTCTGTGGGGTCACAGAGTCGGGCACGGCTGAGCCACTGAACAACAACATCACATTGCTAAGACTGAGTGGATGCATAATGCTGGGACGTCAGTGCTAAATACACATTCACATGACACACCACATGAACAAATTCAACACCCCCCGCCCCGCCCCCAGAGATGGGTATGAGTGTGAAGGGTGGAAGGGTGGCCGAACTGTTACTTGGCACATGGGTAACTTTTGCAAATCTGGTTGTTTCTGCTGTGAATTCTTCCAGTTGTCCCCAGGAATCATGGGCCCTGCCCACGAGGACCCTGTGTCATTATGGAATGTGCACACACCCTTCTGAAGACATAGCTTCATTCCCACTCAGGTGTATTGTCAGCGGACGCACCCTGGTCAATGAGGTTGGTTTCCTAAGAATGAATCTTGCTTGGCCTCCCAATTCACTATATAACATGGATGCTCCACAAAAGAAGTGCAATGCATTCAGCACCTCCCACCCTCCCGCCCACCCTTCCTTCCTTTCTTCTCTTTCTCTTTCTTCCTTCTCTTTTTCACCAGCTAAATCATGTGGATTTCCCCCCATGTCTTCTTTCTAAAAGAACTCTAAGTTTGGAACTCCCAAGTTCAAGACCTCAACACCCTCCCCCGGGTCACAGATCACATGCACTCTGTCTCACCACCTCCTCAGCACACACCTGATCTCACTCCTGGACACACATCTAGCTCTCGTCCCACTAGACTGCACACCCGACGCGCTTCACGCCTCCCTCGTGTCTTGTCACACGATCTTCCCCAGTGCGGGTTCAGGCCCAATGTCACCACCTCTAGGAACCTTCCCGAGCCCTCGTTCCCCACTGTCAAGCACATCAGCCCTCCCTCTGTGCCCCTAGCGTGGTGCACAGACCTCGAGGGCGGCCTCAGCCTCCGTCCTGTAGAGTAATCCCGGTCTCCCCAGAGCCCGACCCAGCCCAGGGCCGGACACACAGAGGATGCTCTGTAAATGTCAGACTAGGAGGCGGGCATTCCTGCAGTGCTGGGCTGGAAGCCATGGCTGCCGTGGGCCGCTCTCCAGCCTCTCCAGAACTCGGCTTCCCTGGACCTTTGCAGACCACAGTGATCAGTCCAGGTCAGGCTGAGCGAAGCCTCGTGTCCTAGCCACGTTCCCCTCCTGATGCAGATTACCTGGGAAGGCAGGCATTTCCACTCATGGGGATTCCTCTCTCCTAGGTAGCTGGTTCCCAGAAATGCCCAGGGCCTGCTCCTTCGACCTGTATGTATGGAAGGAGGCCGAAAGACGGCTTTGACTTTGAGGCTGCATCTCAGCTGGAGAGGCAGGAGTGAGCCTGAAGTCCCTCCATCTCTTCCTTCCACCAGCAGGGCAAAGGCAGCTGGCCAGAGGTCAGGTCAGCTCATTGAGGGCTTCATTCCAGATGCTGTGGATCTCTCGGGAAAGTAGTGGGAGCCCCAAATACATCCAGGACCTGTCTCCTCCCCCTGGTGCCTGTGGTCCAAAGGACATGAGTAGATGCAAGGAATTTTTGGCACCTGATAAAACATCCTCATTAAAATCATAGGTAAACTAGTGGATGCTGAATTGGGGTAAATTTTAAATATGCACAGCCTGTGGTCCCCCCCAACCCACAGGGTCACAGTACACTCCTGCAAAGACATCATCCATGGGCACCTAAGTATGTAAAAGGACAGAACCAGGACCTGGACATGGCCTGGTCTTTCCATCCTCTCTCAGAAAGAAAGGCATCATGAGAAAGGAAACTGATTTCACAAACATGAGGACAGAGGTTTATTGCTCACGGTGACAGAAGGCTAAGCTGAGTCCTAGAAGGAAGGTCCAGTTGGTGTGAGAAGAGTCAAAGCAACTTCCCCTCCTCCCCCGCCGCCGTGACGTCTCCGGAAAAGCAGGCAGGCTCTCAGGGAAACATCTTTGGGGGGTCGGCTGACCATAAGACACAGAAACCCCCAAAGCCATGACCCTCACCCCTCAGCGGGTCCCAGGGCTCTGAAATCCCCTCCTTCAAGAAGCAGCATAAAGAAAAGCTGGAGTCGCAGAGTGACTGAGAAAGTCATCGTGGGTGGAGTTTAAACCTACAAGTTCAGAGCACGGTGGGCTAGGAACTGAGCCCTGTAGTGTGGGTTTAGGATCTGAGATCCTCTCCATTCTAGGCTCTGTTCTCCGGCTTCTTAAAACGCTTTCACACCGAGCCCAGCTCTCCAACAGCACTCAGGCCTTCAACATCAAGCCATCCGCTGGGCTGCTGTCAAGGAAGTCATCCCAGGCCCTTGACAGAGATGCTGATCTGGACCTTCCTAAGTGTTTTACCTGAGAAATCCATGTGACATTTGATAAATTACCAAATGAGGTAGATAATTCTCTTGGGAATAATGAAGCCGGGGAAATTTTATAGACTGTATATAGATGAATATAAACATTTATCTAAAAGTAATCCTAGCAGAGTTGGTGGGTGTTGATCACTAATGAAGTGATTTTCTTCTCACTTCTCCTTGGGTTTTGATACCTGTGTCCTAATAATAATGAAAATACCCAATCAGCTGGCATATTTGGGGGACTGTCACCATGATGCCAAAACAACTGGTTCTGTTGGTTTATTGGCAGTCCTAAGGTTTAGTATAAATTACAAAATGCCTCTTCTCAAGATATGTGACATTATAGGTGACAGATCTTATTTTTTAGCTAAAGAAGAGGTGAAAGGGATCAAGTTGCTTCTGGGAGTATAATTTGTTGCTTGCACAGAGCAAGCAGGAAGAGAAGTTGACAGTTATTCCTCCAACCTGACATTGACGAAAACTTACTTGATTGTTTGAATCTGACTATTGACCTCAGCCACTGGGTCACTACTCCTCCGCTGCCCAAAGAGTATCTGTGTGAGAGAGGCGGTCAGATTCAGTGGTGCATATTTTCCTGGCTCTTTGCTTGTCTTCAACCTTACTGATGCTTTCGGGGTGGGGAGAGCGAAGAGGGAACAGCTGCTTGATACTAGGAAAGCGCAACAAAAGTGAGTATCTGTTGTGATTCAAACCAGAGGGGCCAAATGTGCGCTGAACCAGAGCAATTTTGCTTCAGTAGCACACAAAGTCCTGTATGGGCAGTGATGCGCTGGGAGATGTTTAGCAATGAGTTTTCAGTGGAGAAAAGGGCCTGGTTTGTAGCCTTTGCTGACTTTCACGCTATAAATATGCCCATCACGGCTGATTTCAAGCTACCAGGGTGATGTCCCAGAACACAGAATCGGGAAGGGCTGTGAGCCACTGGCTCCTCTAAGCAGGTGTGAGTATACCTCCAGCTGCGGTGGGGAGGCATCAAGGCTTCCAAGGCTACGTCGGTCTCCATGGAAACTTAGAAAGGAGACAGGAGTAGGCCAGGCTCAGTGATTTGTTTTCTAAATGAGGAGCTAAGGTCAGTAAGATGCCCTTTTTTCAAACATGCACACACTTGGCTATTTTTTCGATACTGGGGCCACTCGGCAGTGAACAGCATCAGGTTTGTCCTGGCTGGCCCCTGTGGAACAGGGTCCTCCTTTCTAGTCTCCAAAGTCAGGCTGTGCCCAGAAAAGGAAGGGGAGAAGGAGCCTTCTGAGCCTTCTGCTCCCATCCTTTCCACCCTGGAGGAACCACTTGTTAGAGTGAAGGATGGAAAAATAACTGCTCTTAGCATGCACACGTCATTCGAAAAGGTAAAAAGACAAATGGGCAGAGAGCCTGGACGCCTCATCTTGTTTCTATGAAAGCAAGATGGCGGCTGCTAGTGGCTCGGCACAGTTTTCTGAGTTACGGTTTTCGGTAAAAATTTCACTCTCCGATCATGGGCCCAGGGCACTTTCTGGATCACCTTGGGAAACCTCTACTGTCTGTTCATGACTTACAGAAANCAAGATGGCGGCTGCTAGTGGCTCGGCACAGTTTTCCGAGTTACGGTTTTCGGTAAAAATTTCACTCTCCGATCATGGGCCCAGGGCACTTTCTGGATCACCTTGGGAAACCTCTACTGTCTGTTCATGACTTACAGAAACTAAGATATTGAACCCTAGGGATAATGGAACTAAGTGCCTTAAAGTCAGGCTAAAAACCTGGTAAGGTCAGTTCTTCTCCAATCACCTCAAAGAACATGCTGGACAAGACATGTGAGACAAGGTGAAATGCTTCCTGCGAATTCAAGTCACAGACCAGGGTTTGGGGACCTGCCAGGCACGTTCCTCCATCTTCTTGGCTCCAATAGTTATGACATGTGAATCAGAAGAAGATGACTTCGGGTCAGACTTCAAAGAACATTATTATATGCAGTACCTGCCTATTGAAAACCATTTTCATGCTAAGGTTGTCTACACACACACACGTTAGCTTTGGGGCAGGGGGAGGGAAGAAAGAGAGAAAAGTTGAATCCAATATAACCATGTCTAACGCAGCTTGTCAGCCACAGTTGGGTAACACTGGCTGTTAAACATTTTCCCCTTGGGCTTGGGGGCCAAGGTCCCAGCTGAGCATAATGAGTTAGTACCAGCTGAATAATATTTGGATTAAAGCAGCCACCACTGCATGTGGCCATGCTAGACGTGGGGCAAACGGCCACTGCCAACCTCGCTCTCGGGGTGACTGATGCCCCACGGAGGTCACCACTTTTCAGCATGAAGCCCAACGGTCCCAGGGTTAGCAAGCAGGTGGACACCATGCTTCCCCACCTTCCACCAGCACTGTGTGTCCTTGATCATGACCGCACTGGGAGCGACTCCTGGGGAGTCTCTGCTGAGTCTCGGAGCTCAAAGGAGCTTCTCAGAAAGAAAAGCGAGAGCACACAGCACGTGCCTTGGTCATCCTTTGGTGATAAACGGGCAGTTCAACGTCTGCCCTGCAGGCACCAGGAACCAGGCTTCAGAGCCGCCCCAAGCCAAGGGTCCAGCATCCCTAGGCTTGGAGGTGGCGGCGGCTGGCCGTGTCCACCCAGGCGACCCGAGCCCCGCCCTTCCCTTCTTCTCACCAGCCGCCTCCTTCCAAGCTCTCCAGCGGAGCAACGTGCTTCACTCGGAGACCGGCAGAATGTTCTGGCTGTGGGAGTCCCGGGTGAGGCCGGAGGAGCGGAGCGATCGCCGGTGGAGGACCCTGTTCAGGATCTCCTTGCAGCTCTTGCGGTACTGGTGTCGCAGTAAGGAGTACACGAAGGGGTCGGACGCGGCCTTGCTGTAGGCCAAGCACTTGGACAGCACCCCCCAGTGGGCGCTGATGGGTACTGCAGAAGACAGCTCCACCAGCCTGTGGACAGAGACCGGGAGGATGCTGGGTTATCACAGCACAGCCGGGCGATGCCCGCGCTCCCGCCTGAGCCCCCGACCCCAGCTTCCGGTCGGAGCTTCGGAGTCTCTGAGGCTGCCTCCTCCAGTCACAAGGACAACAGAAGTAGCAACCATTACCAATGGTGGCCACTCACCAGGCACTTCTTTTAGGCCAGGTACTGTGCTAGTGATACATATTACACCCGATTTCATGGAACCCTGGAAGTTTAGACATCTCCATTTTACAGGTGAGGAAATCGACATCCAAGGACGTTATGTACTTTGCCAGTAAGCTGTAAAGGCGGGATTTGAACTCAGGTCTGTCTGATTCGGGAACCCAAGCTGATCTGAGAAACGCACTTAGAGTTTCATTGCATCCTGGCCACTGGCTCTAACTCTCCTGCTGACTTGTTCTGTGACCCTGGGCAAGTCATTTGCGTTCCTGGGGCCTGAATGTTTTATATGAAAAGTGAGAAGCCAGATAAGCTCATCTCTATGATCACTGTAGCCAGAATAGATGGATTCTTTGCTTCAGAAAATCCTAGCTCTGCCTTCCAAGGGAGGTTGCCTAGGAGGAAGGGCTGAAAACAGTTTTCCAAATATTCGGCAAAGCTCAAAGTATGTCTCATAGCAGGGAAGAATCTGATGGTGAGAAAGGCTTCTTCCCAGGGCTGGGGTCTGGGGGCCCCTGGCAATAGCAGCAGCAGTAGATGCCCTAAAGTGACTTTATTCTTTAGAAGGAGGTGAGGGAAAAGGCGGCTTCTGTGTCAAAGGGGCTCAGTTCTGAGACCCATCCAACAACTCCATTCAACAGTGCTAAGGCCACACCGTGAGGGAGTGACACTCCTCTATGTAAGTGGAAAGAAAGTAAACTTGTCAGTCGCTCAGTCGTGTCCGACTCTTTTCAACCCTGTGGACTGTAGCCTGCCCAGCAGAGTGTCCATGGAATTCTCCAGGCAAGAATACTGGAGTGGGGTAACCATTCCCTTCTCCAGGGGATCTTCCCGACTCAGAGATCAAACTGAAGTCTCCTACATTTCAGGCAGATTCTTTACCGTCTGAGCCACCAGGGAATTCCCTCCAAATCAAGCCATTAATTCTTTTCTCCCAAATGCATCCAGAACCTTTGGCTAAATTTCGACATTAACCAGCATTAATATAAGGTACGAAAGGCCACAGCGTTGGGAGGGAGCTTGGAAATTATCAATTACCCTCTGTCCACCCACTGTCAAATGAATAAATAGGCCCAGAGAGGGAAAGAGGTTGCCCAACATCACACAGCAAGTCTGTGATGGAGGAAGATCCATGAACTGTGCTCAGACTGGGATCTGACATCTGTATCCTATCTGGGAGGCGGGGTGAGGGAGGGGTCTTCAGGATGGAAGGCAGGGCGGCTCTCAGCATGGAGGGCTGCCCTGGTGAGAACCCAGGTACCGAAAACACCCAGCTTGGGCTGCAACCCTGTGCTGCCAACTCAAGTGATTTTCCTGAAGGCTTCTTTGGGTTTATGTCATGCGGATGAGCTCATGAAAGGAAGGAGGAGGAAGGAAGCTGATGGGGTGACATTCCCTGTTGCAACGATCCCCTTTTTGAACAGGTCCTTGATGTCTCCATTCTGAGGCCCTTCTATTGGCATCCTGTTTCCAGCACCACTATCTGCCCTTGCCCTCCTACCCCGAGGGGGAATGTGGCCACGGTTCTGCTCCTCTCCTTGGGAGTCTGAATGGGGGAAAAAATGGAGCTGTTGGCATTTGGGAAATCTGTACTTTTAAGAAATCTACATTGGGAAGTGATGAGTATAAAGGAACCAAAACCCCTGAGTCTAGAATTCACACCTAATAATAACAATGAAATAGCGGAATGCCAACACATTGTCGCTATGTGATGCCAAATTGCTTTTCCAAAATGTCTAGTCTCCTCCATATAGATAAATTCAGTCTGAGCATTTGAGCTCTCTTAAGAGGACTTATTAAGAGTCAAATAGCAGCTCTCTTAAGAGGACTTGTTAAGAGTCAAATAGCATCAAACCATCCAGCAAGATAAAAATTATTATTTGCAGATTCTGTAGATTTCACAGAATAAAATTTTTGAGGACAATTTAAAGTTTCACCAGTTAGATAATTAAGAGGCAAAACCTATTGCATTTGCTTCTCAGAGATTTTATGTCCAGTCTGAACATGCCTGCCTGGCTCAACAATAACAGCTCCCAGTTGAGTATCTCCTTCGGGCCAAATATGAGATGTGCACACTCTCTAATCCTACAGTTATCCTCTGCAGAAGGCGTGTCATTTGTCCCACTTTACAGATGAGGAAATCAGGGCTCAGAGTGACTGTGCAACAAGCCAGCAACAAGCCAGCATCTCCTCAATGGGAAGCCCAGTTGCATCTAACTGCAGCCTACGTCTTGCCTGGGTACCATACTGGGATTCAAATCTCTGCATCACTGGTTGGACAGGGTGAGTTCTGGGGTCCCTCCCAGCCCTGAGAACTCCCTTTCCGTGAAGTTGCTCTGTGCTACCCAGCACTCCTGTCACCCCTGTCCACAGTGCACAGGACTTCTATTCCAAAAAGCCAGCGTCTGGCCTTCACAAGGCCTCCAGGCAAAGGGATGCTTCAGATCAGCCTGGGCCTGGGCACTGCTCCCACAGGGCCCCCGGGCCAGGGTGAACCTAGGAGGCTCTTTTCTGTGACTGGATGTGGCTGCCTGACCTGCTTTCTGATTTTCCTGTGCATGGGGATCCCCCTGCCATGTGCCCACCATGGCTGGCTTTGTTCTGTTCCATCTCTGACAGTTCCAAGTCCCTACTGCCTTAGGGGCCTGGGCAGGGGCAGGTGTTTCTGTGATGCTACAATTGCTTCTTTCTAACTTCATATCTGGGCAGAGGATGGCCACGTGGTCCCCTCCAGATGACCTTTGAGAAAGGGAATGCTCCAGCCTGTCTTCCCATGCCAGACCCAGCCACCTCCTCTGAAAACCCTCCCCTCCAGGAAAGGGACATTATTATTCCGATCAGTCACAGCTTCCTCGTGAGCAGGGTCACCGTGTGCTCAAAGTGGCCTGCCACGCTCTGCCTCTCCTCTGCCACTGCACATGATGGATTATTGAGCTCCCCTGTCCTGCCCCTGCCTGCAGGTCTGACCCAAGAGCCCTGAGTTCAGGGTTTATTGGCTCAGGTGTTAGTTAATTAAGGGGGACTTGGTTTCCTTTCTCCCTAGCCCCTGTTGTAGGTTGAACTATGTCTCCCCAAATTCATAGGCTGAAGTCATAACTCTCAACACCTCAACTGCTGCTGCTGCTGCTAAGTCGCTTCAGTCGTGTCCAACTCTGTGTGACCCCATAGAGGGCAGCCCACCAGGCTCCGCCGTCCCTGGGATTCTCCAGGCAAGAATACTGGAGTGGGTTGCCATTTTCTTCTCCAATGCATGCATGCATGCTAAGTTGCTTCAGTCACATCTGACTCTGTGAGATCCCATAGACGGCAGCCCACCAGGCTCCTCTGTCCACAGGATTCTCTAGGCAAGAATACTGGAGTGGGTTGTCATTTCCTTCTCCAAGCAACACCTCAGAGTGGAACCTTATTTGGAACCAGGTTTTTTGCAGGTGTAATCGGTAAAGATGAAGTCCTGCTGAAGAAGGGCGGGCCCCTAAGCCCATGTGATGACCGTGTCCTTACAAAAGGGGGGAATACGGGCACAGATGCATGCAGAGAGAATGCCACAAGATGAAGGCAGAGATGGGGTGATGCTTATGAAGCCAAGCGACACTGAAGATGGCATGTAAACCATCAGAAACTCCACGGGGCTGGCGGGGAGGCCTGGAAGAGCCTCCCTGGCAGCCTCGGAAGGACCCGCCTGGTCGACGCCTTAATCCTGAACTTCCAGCCTCTAACTGAAGCCGCACAGTTCTACTGTTGAAGCTGCTCAGGGAGCAGCAGCTAGCTACAGCAGCAGGGCTGGGAAACAGACCTACGTCCACTGAGGAGCCTGTGTGTGTGCAGAGGGTGTTAGGCAGATCTGGTTGTTCATGGGCCCTGGTCATAACACCCGCATGGCGCCAAGCCCTTTGGAGCTCCTGGAGCCCGTGGGCACCGAGGGTCGACTCTGCGATCAGCAGAGGTCAGCAGCCCCCAGAGCAGGGCACTGTCCCTTCCTTCCCCTCCAGGAAGCAGGGTTTTATTCCCCTACAAGCAGTGCTCCCTGCCCCCTGCCCCTACTGTCCATTAAGCACCAAGGTGACTTTCCAGGTCCTGTTTGAGGTGTGTGCCCGAGTAAACTCTGCCATCGGGCAGTGTGCTGGGGCAACATTTACGCTTCTGTGCTTTGAATGCACACGTGCCTGTCCTGGACAACCTTGCCACAGCTCCCCCGAGGAGCCCTTGGGCTCAGCGCACACAGGCTGGGCAGCTGGTCAGGCTGGGGACTGAGGGGGAGGGGAAGTCAGGAGACCACTTTCCTGAACATCTCGGGTGGCTCAGAGGTGGCTGTGAGCCTTTGGGGGTACTGGGGCACAGCCTGGCTGGGGTGGGAGCTGTGAGATGCTGCAGGGTGTCGCTGCTGCCAAGTCAGAAGCTGAGCGTGGAGATGGGTGTTTATCTGACTCAAGGTGACCCAGAGTAGACACCCGTGGTCCTGGCCTACCTGCCTGTCCCCACCTCTGGACCCTCTTTGCTCTGTATTTGTTCTGGGGGACCCCTCCAGGGAGCAGCTCCCCTCTCTGAGCACAAGGCCCTCTGATCCGGGTCCCAGGGAGGTCTCTGGGCTGGCTGTCACAGCAGAGGGCTGACAGTAGGGAAGCCGCCCCCTCCGCCTTCACCCACAGGGACCTCTCACCCCACCCAGCAGCCTGGCCACCCTGGTCCCGGGAGGAGGATGGAGGTACCCTTGCCAGGACTCCCGGGCAGTCTCCAACCTACCCCCTCCTGGGGAAACCAGTGTCTCAGCTCTGGTTGTCGATAGCAATCTGCAAAGAAACTAAATTCT